TCCCTGAAAAAAAAAAAAAAAAAAAAAAAAGCTTACTGAAAACAAAGTGTTGGCTCCCTCTGAGGAGCCAGTAGCTCATAGCCTGCTGGGGAGAGGGGGACTGTTGACATAGCAAGATGGTTACCGCCTCTATCCTTCAACACTGATTGGCTGCAAGGGCTGTCCCGCCCCCCCCCCCCTCCACCAATTGGCAGCAAGGGGTAGGACCATATGACAGGCAGCCCTCGAAGCCAGTCAGTAGTGAGAGGCAGGCCACCAGGGGCCCTCAGCCAATCAGAGGCTTAAAGGGGCCCACCACGCTTAGACCGAGAAAATGGCTGCTGGCCCAGGGAATCTGTTCATGAAATTGCCTAGCAGCTGCCTTGAGTTTGGTAGACCCCTAGTTATTAGATACCATGAGCAGGGATCCTGGTTTTCTCTGATAAAAAAAAATTGCAAATTCTCCGATAAAACCCCCCCCACAAATTCTCCGATTAAAATAATAAAATAAATTCTAAATACCTATAAATTTTGGTGTTTGATTTTGGGTTTTTTTATCATGGAAAATCAGAGATCTCCCTGCTCCCTTCGCTCAGCAGGACACGGGTCCAGCTGTGGGTTTCTGACCCTCCCCCCTCTCCCCACACTGCTTCATGGTGCTGAGCAACCTTGATATGCCAATGCCCTGCCCATGTCATTACCCCTCACTCCCAAGCCACACACCCCCAACCCTGCTGGTGCCCTAACTCCAAACCCACAGCCCTGCCAGCACCCCTCATTCATGGCCCACCCAGCCCTGCCAGTATACCTCACTCCCCACCCACAGCCCCCTGGCCCTGCTGGTGTCCCTCACTTCTAACCAACAGCCCTGCCAACTCTGCCAGTGCCCCTCACTCCCCCCACAGCCCCCTCCAGTGGTGGGAGCCCCCAACTGTCAGGGCTATGGGGCCAGGGACCTGGGTCCACAGGCCCCTGCTGTCCTCAGCAGTGCCCAAGCCCTGGCTGCCTGTGAGAGGTGGTGGTTTCTGTGGCCCGAGTAGAGCGCGGAGCCCAGTTTCTCCTTCCCTCATGGGTGTTACAGCTTGAGAGGAGCCCATGGCAGGGCGTGGATGCAGGCTGGCAGCTGCAGGCTCATGGCTCCCAACCCTCCTAGCCTCTCCCTGGGGGCTTCCACAGCCCAGCGGATGGGACCCAGTATGGGAGGGCAGAGTGGGGCAGGGAAGCTTGGTGCTGCCACTGGGATCCCTGCACTGCCATGGCAAGGTGTTCCCTGCCTGCCCAGCAGTAGTGGGGGGGGGGGGGCACAACACCACACCATTGCTCCTGCTTCTGCCAGGTGGGCAGGGGGCACCTCACCATGGTGGTGCAGTGCTCCCAGCGGTGGCACTAAGGCTCCCTGCCCTGCTATGCTAGGTCCTGCCCAGTGGGCCATGCAGGCCCCAGTGGGAGGGCAGCAGGGTGGGTAGGCTGAGCCCAGTGAGCAGCCCGCATCCACTCCCACCCCATCCACAAAACCAGGGGGACATGTGCTTACCTATGCCTCTTACCCTGGGAGTGCACACAGTGGTCGGGAGCTGTCCCCCCGCCACCCCCTGGACAAGCCACCCATGATGCCATTCCACGCCCTGCCCAGGTCCCAAGCCATAGGCCCCATGTACTAGCCCTGCTGGGCAGCGCCCTCTGCCCAGCCCTACACAACTCCCTCCCTCCCTATGGGGGCTTGAATCCTTTCCCCCCCCCAGGAGTCCTCCCCCCCCCCCACCCCCGACTTATCTGCAGGGAGCTGCTCTCCATGCTGCCTGGCTGCCATGCGCATGCACACGGCACCCTCTGCCTGATTGCCCTCCTCCCACTCCCGCCAGCCCCTTGCAGGCTGCATCTCTGCCAGTTTGAAAAGGGAGGGAAACCTGCCATTTTCTGCATTTTTCTCCTTCAAATGAGGAAATCAGTTTTTTGCTGCAGTGACTGGAAAACCCAGATCCCTGTTTATCAGCTTCGAGTAACAGCAGGGTACTCTGAAAGTTCACAGGACACTCATCCCATACTCAGGGTATCTATCATTGGCATTCAAGGAGGCCCCATACCTGACTTGCCTACTGAGGCCAGCAGCTTCCACCTGGCCTCCCCTCCACACTTCCTATCCTCCGTAGACACCACAACAATGCCCCTTTCATTCCCCTCACTGACAGACTACTCCCTGCCTTCTTCTCTGCTGTTCTTCTGAGAACATCTTCCCAAATTCTCTTGCCTCCCTCAGTTGCTGCCACAAAAAATGATCACCTAAAATCTTCTAACACCAGTCAGCGTGATCAGTCATTTTAAAGGTTAACTGTAGCAGCCTGCAAAGCTTTTCTAAGTGGTTTTGCTTGCTGCTGCAGGGCCTGTACTTCTTGTAGAAAGACACACAGGATGGACTGTGTGTCTGCATAGCACTTTTACCTAGGCCACTGAACTATAGATCTTCTCTGTGCCCATCACTGCTATCATAGTACATTATGGCAGAGGCTATAACTGCACTCTGTGCCTTGATCATTGCACAGGCAGGAGACTCATGGAGACTGAACAACATACGTATGGACATCCATAAGTCTGGCACTTAACCTAAATAACAATTTTTAACATCATTTGTCTGCATGAAAGATCTAATATCTATTGGAATCAGTGGTAGCAAGTATTGTACTCACAATCAGCCCTCTGTCGTGGAAACACACGCAGCATACTTTTGGGTCAGGTCAGCAGAAGCTTTTATTCAAAAGAAACTACAGCTGTAGGGGGGGACTCCAAAGTGACATGGATCTCCCAAGCACTTGGAAGGGGTCCCCCCCCCAAGAGCAAAATCAGGAGGCTTATATACTTTTTAACAGTTGCTTACAACTCACATGATCATATAGTGAAATTAGCATGAAAAGCGGCTATAACATTACTTCATTATTTCTTTGCTGTAATCAGGATGGGAACTAATGGGGGAGGCGAGGTTAGTTCACAAACCTCCTTCTTGCACCTGCAAATCAGAGTTGTACATACTTTTTGCTATCTTCAAGGCCGCGGTGAGCGAAGCAGTTGCAGAGGAGTTACAAAGAACAAACACTTTCTCTTATCTGTTCTACTATACAGAGCCAGCAATTCTCCACAAAGCGGTTATGTCATCTTATAACTAAAATAGTCAAAGTTTAAGGCATATATTTTTTCTGATTCCACACCTCAAAGAGCCTTTTAGGACTTAATTGATGTAATCTCTCTTTTATATAAATAGGATGTTGCACAAAACATATGGAAGAGTATCTTGTTCTGTCTTGCCACCTTCTCTACTATGAATTGACCAATTTTACCACTAGCACAAATGGGCTTCAGTGGCAATTTACAGCATCAGGGATTGGCAGCTTATATGACTGCACAATCGGACTGTAATAGTTAGCTCCCTCCTTAATGCCTACTATCAAGCCCTTCAGGCAGGTCATGGCTTTTCAGAGCCAAGACAAACAAGATGACATAGATTTGGATATTGCAGTCATAACTCTGGGGATTGTTCAGAATCCTGGTACCACAGAGCTAGGTTTCTGTGACACTTTGGGCACATCTACACCTCACCCTACATCACCATAGCAACATGCTACATTGCTGTATGACGTGCTGTGGTAACGTGATCCCATCAGTCTACAGGTGACCAGCAGCTACTTTCATAGACATTAGGGCTGGAAGGGACCTCGGAAGATCATCGAGTCCAGCCCCCTGCCCAAAGGGCAGGAAGTCAGCTGGGGTCATAAGATCCCAGCAAGATAAGCATCCAGTTTGCTCTTGAAGGTGTTCAATGTGGGCGCTTGAACCACCTCCGGTGGAAGGCTGTTCCAGACCTTGGGGGCTCGGACAGTAAAGAAATTCCTCCTTATGTCCAGCCTGAAACGGTCTTGTAGTAGTTTATGACCGTTTGACCTAGTCTTCATCCCTTGGGGTGCTCTGGTGAACAAATGTTCCCCCAGATAAATTTATAGGTGGCCATCAGATTACCCCTGAGCTTGCACTGCCCCCCCCCCTTTTTTTTTTTTTTTTTTTTTTTTTTTTTTAATAATTTTTTCTCCCCACCCCTTTTTTTTTTTTTTTTTTTTTAAATATATACACACTTTGCACACTCCCCCATTTTAGCACTCTGCTATGGCGAAGTAGTGGCTAAAACTAACTGTGCATGTGGTGCAATCCAGGCAGTTACTGCACTGTGCTTTAGTACTTCCAAAAGGAAGTACTAAAGCACGGTGCAGAAACAGTGTTGCTGTGGGGTGATATGTAGACGCGCCCTTTTCCTTTTTTTTTTTTTCCTGCCCGACTAACCTTCCAGGTGCTAAGATGACTAAACACACTTTACTGCCTCAGCCCCTTAACTTTCTGCAGATGGTGTTACAGTCCTTGAGAAGAGTCAATATTTTACTTTCTTTTCTTGTTTTCAGCCAGAAGCAGATACTGTAAGGCATGATTGTGAGTAAATGGGCTCACAAAACGATGCTTAATCTGTGCATTTCTCATCTGTTCTTTATTGCCATATCTGATATCATGCAGTAGAGTTTGGGACAGAGTCTAAGGTCCTTGGAAACTATTAAATTATTCTCCCTCCATAAATATGCCACAGGAGCCACTCACATACACTGGTCTTGTTCACCATGAGTAAAGGCAGTGGCATTGGCTGCTCTTTGGGAAATTCCCTTTTGCATGAGTCCACATCAGCCACTGGGTCTTCTCCTATTTAAACATGGTAAGCATTGAATAAGTTGACAATCACCACACTGTACACAGGTTTGTCACAGCAGCTCTGCTGACCTTTAATGAGGCATTTTGCCTCACTAAACCAGAAACCAGGCAGCAGCTTGCCATATTCTTTCAGGCTTGAAAAATAGGAGGAGGAAGTGGCTCCTTGGTTATTACAGTTTGGGAGAATACTCATCAGCAGGGATCAGCATGACCCTCTGCAGACTGTGCACTGTGTCCCTAGGCACAGCTAGCTGTGTATTTAATTTCCAACTATGCTCTTGCAGTGTCCTGTCCTGCACTGGAAGCCCCTATGGATGGCAAAAAATTTGGTACCAAGTACTTGGTGGACCATGAAGTCCATTTCACCTGCAAACCTGGTTTTCAGCTCATTGGTTCCAGCACTCGAGTGTGTCAAGCAAATGGCAGCTGGACTGGAGAGGAACCTCAATGCAAAGGTACTTTTGTCTGTTCATTTCTTTGGTTTGAGTGGATGAGCCTTTCCTCATGTCATCAAATGGGTCTGCATAGGCCTTGGGAAGGACATACAGATCATGTCACAGTTACATGAAGTATATTTTCTGTGCAAGAAAGACTAATTCATAGCCTGAGTTTTCATTTCATCTATTGCCTCTCTTTGGCTTGTCATGTTATTGCCCAAGCTCCAACTTCTTGAATAATAAGTACGTGGGAGGTGGTGGGGCTCATTTAAAAATGAAAAATGAAAACATTAACCCATTAAGGATTTTACTGCTGAATATTATGCTTTTTATTTAGTGGCAAACAGGACCTGCAAACCTGGCGCTTATCTCAGTGTCATTTTGTTCCTTGCATTGCAAATAAGTGCCAAAGACAGGAGAAGTTGAGGATCTCTGCCTGTCTTCTTCTACCTGTAAAACACCCAGCTGGTCATTTGCAGGCCTTATTGAGCCTCTATACTTGAATCTGGATTCCTAGGGTATATACACTGAACTGGAAAAAGAAAAAAAAAAAAATCATTCAGTGTCTACTTCCCTTTACCTTGAAGCCTATCTTGAATAATAATGATTAGGTACAGTGCATTGTAAACCATTTGTTCAGCTAGTTTTTAGATATGTACAATAGGATTCCATAGTCCATACAGTGAGCCTCACATCTATCTATTCCCTTTTTTCTGTGTTAGTTTAATTTACTGTGCTTAGGGCTAAAGATCTGAGCACAAACTGTCTATTAAGGAATTAGTTATTTCATAATAATAAATATCAGCTTCTGAAAAGAGGCTGGCACAGCATATCCATAATAATCCCCCTTGGATGCTTATTTGGAAACTTGCCTTTCTGTGAGTCTGTGACTGATCCAAATTGGCAAACATGAAAATTATATATAATTACATCTATTAAAAATAATTTACTGGGCAGAAATATATTTCATGATGGCCAACAGGCATTTGGCTTAATGCACCAGTACAAGACATGGGGGGGGGAGGAGAGGTTTGGGTTTGTTTTGTGTACATTTTTCCCCCCCCAGAACTGCAAGGTTGATCAAAACTGGTAGGTGTCTGCAGCCCTCTCTGCATCTCTCTAGCCACAGAAGAAATGCAATAGAAATTCCCCCTCCCCCCAAAAAAATTTTCATTTCACAAGAAAAAAAAATCCTCCCCTAGCAAAAGGAAGACCCCCAAAAACAAAAACAAACAAACCAAACAACCCAGGAGCCTTTACTCAGAGCTGTTTGCCTCTGCTCAGGGCCAAGGAGCCGTAGCACTGGAGTAATGGTTCAGAACCCGAGTTCTGTTCCTTGCTCTGTTTCTCCTGCCTTTGCACAAACTGCATGATCTCTCCTGGGCTTCAGTCCTCCCTCTGCAAAATGTGGACATGCAAGCCCATGTGCGAGAGTGAGCTAGTCAACTGTAAGGCCCCGCTAATGCATAAAGTCAACTCCCTCAAAAAACATCCCTCTCAAATGAGGTTCTAGTTCTCACTTACATTATTGTAACAGCCACAGATCAGAAGAGTTGACACCTCTTCCACCCTTTCACTGCTGTGCACAGGACTCTGGGCCAAATTCTACTTTCATTTACAGCACTTCATAATTGGTATGAGTCATCACAAGGAAGTGAGTGCAGAATGTAAGCCAGTGTTCGTGGGATTGGAGCCTGGCCCTACACCTGTATTTACCATACTAGTCAGGGAGAGCTTTGGTATCTTGCAGTACATAGTTCACCCAGTGACCTTGTGACAGGTCGTCACTCTAGGCCACCCTTAATATGGCCCAACACATCTGTCTCTGGGCAACTGCCCGCTTTGTCTTGCCTGCCATGCCTTGATCTTAATTGAATAATTAATTAGCAGGAGGCTGCCCTTGTCCTGCCCCTCCACTAGGGGGCGCTGTCTGCAGCTCCTTTCCTCCCCAATACCGCAGCCCAAGCCTCACAGATGTAATCACTGTTGTCTTAATTCTATTCTCTCCCTATATGAGCCCTTACCATTCTCCCCAGGCCTTCTTTCCTGTGCTGCCCCCTTCCTGGGGCTTTCTGGTGCCCAACTTGGGCCTCCCAAAAATGCAGCCCCCTCTCTGGGACTCGCCATGCCCCACTTGGGCTTCCTATAAATGCGGCCCCCTATCAGGGGCTCCCAGTGCCCAAACTTGGGCCTCGCAATGCTGCCCCCTCCCTGGGGCTCACTCCGCCCACCCTGGTGTTCTTCAAACACCCTTCTCTGGGGCTGGGGTCTATGCACCCCGTAAACTGCACCCTCACTGGTGCCTGGATCCCCACGCTACTGTGGGTCTCCTATGAGGCCTCCTCCAACCCCTAATAACCTCACCCAAACCACCAGTCTTAACAACAAAGTAACACAAACTTAAGCCTCCTGGCTATAACTCAAACATAAGCCACCTGGCTACAACAACACTGCTCCAGCATCTTGGAGCTGCTCCCTTTTTCTGCCAGCAGTACCTCCAGTCAGGCTTCTCCTCACATCATTGCTCACAGAGCTCCTGCCTCTCTGGCTGCTGGCAGGGAACTGCCTCAGGCCTCTGCTTCTTGGCTTTATAAGGGCCAGGCCCTGCCCCTTCTGGTCAGCTGACTCATTAGTTGCCCTGGCAACCCACAGCTGTGCTCCCTGATCACCGCTAGGGCTCCTTCTCTAGCAGTTTCTTTCCTCAGGCACAGGGCACCCCAGTGCTCTGTGACACCTGCCTCATTTCAAGCATGCTGGTGTTTCCCCATCCTTAAGCATGGTGGGTTGCAAGGAAGCTGGTTAGAGGGGAGGCACATTTATACCAGCCCAGCCTCTGGCACCAGGTCATTTGTTCAAAATTATCCCTTCCACCCAGGATAAACACATGTGACACTGCAGATCTAGGGCTCTTACCCAGATAGAGGGGGATGAGCATCTCTGCATGTGGAAGAGGCATGAGCTGTAAGAATACAGAGCCAGGGTTCCCTCTCCCCTGCATCCAGTTATCTGTTCTCCAAATCACCTGGATACTCAGGGACAGGATTTGGGGGCCAAAGGGGAACTAGGATTCTCCCCGATTCATGTTTCTGCTACTGAGGATTCTGCTGTAGCTTTCTGCACTGAACCAGACTGCTGGCATTCTCCATACTACACACAGCAACTGCAGGGGGCAGATAGCTTGATCCTATGACCCCCAAGTCCATAGCAAAGCTCCCATTGTGCTCAGTGAGCCAGGATCTGGCACCTATTCCTTCTCCCCATTTGTTCTGAACTCCCAGCAGGAAAAAGATGAGTCTATAGTTCAGGTGTGGGCAGTGGTGATGAAAGCATTTGTTTTAGAGCATTTTTGAACCTGAGGAATTTTACCACCACCATTCCCCCCCCTCCCCATGCAATTTCATTAAATACAAATCTCTGCCATCTGCAGGCCAGTACATTAGCAGACTGAAACCCCTTGAGCCTAAAAATTCTTGGCAGTGATCCACGCCCTTTGCAGCATTCAACCACTACAAGTAGGCTGGAGACTAGCCAGAGGACCTAGACATGATATTCCTCCAGTGAGAGAAGAAATCTCCACTGGGTGTAGACTAGGGGTAGCAGGCTCCTGCACGCCGCATAGCATGTGGGACAATGCCGTGTACTGTGGCCATGTCAGTTCCCCTCATTTTGGCAGCTCTTTTCTGGCCAAGAGGCACCTTAGTCCCAGTCAGCAGTGGTTTTTGAGATTACAGCAATCACAAGACTGAGGGCTCTGGAGGGTCTTGAAATTGACCCCACACTTGGGGTCACAGGGAATAGAGGTAAGGAACCAGTAAAAAAAAGCTGGGAGGGGTGAGCAGGGCTGTTGCATGCTGCCCAGCCATAGGAGCCTGCCTCACTCAGTGTACCCAGGAGGCAGGGGGATAAAGTGGAATGGTGAGACAGTTTAGGCTGATTTTAAAAACAAACCAAACGCATGGTTTGGATATTTCCATCTGAATAGACATTGACCACATGGATGGAGCAAAGGCTAGAACTCAGGAGACCAATGTGTTATCTGGGGCTTTTTCCATTGTGTACAAGTCACTTCATTGCCTCATTCCTCAGCTTCTGCAGAATGAATACAATACAGAGTACTGGCTTTATAATCTGTGGTGCTCTCTTTATAAAAGAGCAAGAAAAACAGCAGATAACATCAGTTAGGTCAGTACCCTCCTTAAACTTGCTTTTCTAGTCCTAAAATAGGTCAGTCATCCCCCAAAACTCAGAATTCCTGCAAAAGCTGCAAGGAAAAGTTTAGAAACAGAGCATGGATGAGGGGGCAAATGCCTATGTAAGTGTAAAATAAGTTACCCAGATAATAAAGCTGTCATCCAAGTGATGCCGTCTGGGTGGGAGGGCTCCAAAAAGATAGGAATTTTTTTCTTAAGGAAAGTTCCCCCGATTATAAAATAATCATGCAAAATGGCACACATTAAATAACATCCAGTATAGATGAGCAACAGCCATATCAGACACACACTTTTGCAAATACAAAAATCACAGTCTGCATCCCCATCAATTAATTCTTGATGGTTTTGTGTTTCACTCATGGGGAAATACCTGTTCTCCTTGAGATGAGAGAAACCCTTCCTGCACTGTATGGAATTCTTTGATTTTTGTCATGAAGTAAATAAGAAATCTTGTCCACATCACAAACTTCCCACAACTTGACCCAGTCAGCATGGGGAAGAGGTTCAGCAAACGGGCTGGAGGTCAACTCCAAGATGCTTTGGCAGACCTATGAGAGGGGATTTGGGGACAAGCCCTAACCCCTGCTAGTCTTGAATCTATTTAGTAGTTTTCCTTCTCCAGTGATCTGTA